CTTAGTTGTGTGTGTGTGTGTGTGTGTGTGTGTGTGTGTGTACACACACATATACACATACATACACACACACACTATAAGTTTTAAACAAACAATTTAATACTGTACACATCAATGATGATTGTGAAGCTTGGTTGAGGTGGTGAAGTCAGAGGGTGGAAGAGGGTGGGATATTTCCCAGGAAATGCCTTACTGCTAAATGATGAACTAGCACTCGGCTGAGCCCTCAAGGGTTAACACATTGTTCTTAATGTAGCCTCATGCTCTACAAGGTAGCACAAATGGAAGGAGGGAAGACAGCATGGCAGACAGAAACACACACTCTATGTGAGAGAGAGAGAGAGAGAGATGTGCATTGCCCCTTTAAGTACGCTGACCCCACTCTAAGTATGTTGCTTTTTTAAGTAAATCAGCAAGTTGAGACAGCAGCTGCTGCCAGCAAGCTTCCTCTGTCCTGAGCCCTGTCGTGTCCCTCTCTGCTCTATGGAGATGGGATAAGTGGGGGGCAGGAGCAGAGTGGAGGAGACACCCTGACATTAGCCTCCCTCTCCCCCCCCCACTTCTGAAAGTGCAACTTATAGATGTTTTTGTTACATAACTGCACTCAAAAACAAAACAATGCAAAACTTTAGCGCCTACAGGTCTACTCAGTCTTACTTCTTGTTAAACCAATCGCTAAGACAAACAAGTTTGTTTACATCTAGAGGATACAATACTGCCCTCTTATTATTTACAATGTCACCAGAAAGTGAGAACAGGCATTCACATGGGACATTTGTAGCCAGCATTGCAAGGTATTTATGCTAAACATTCGTATGCCCCTTCATGCTTCAGCCACCATTCCAGAGGGCACGCTGATGATGCTAGTTAAAAAAATGTGTTAATTACATTTGTGACTGAACTCCTTGTGGGAGACTTGTATGTCTCCAGCTTGATTTTTACTGGTATTCTGCCATATATTTCATGTTATAGTAGTCTCGGATGATGACTCAGCACATGTTCGTTTTAAGAACATTTTTGCTGCAGATTTGACAAAATGCAAAGAAGATACCAATGTGAGATTTCTAAAGATAGCTACAGCACTCAACCCAAGATTTAAGAATCTGAAGTGTCTTCCAAAATCTGAGAGGGATGAGGTGTAGATCAGCTTTCAGAAGTCTTAAAAGAGCAACATTCTGATGTGGAAACTACAGTACCCAAACCACCAAAAACAGAAAACCAACCTTCTGCTGGTGGCATCTGACTCAGATGATGAAAATGAACATCCGCCAGTCCGCACTGCTTTGGATTGTTATCGAGCAGAACCTGTCATCAGCATGGACGCATATCCTCTGGAATGGTGGTTGAAGCATGAAGGGGCATATGAATTGTTAGTACATCTAGCACGTACATATCTTGTGATGCCGGCTACAACAGTGCCATGAGAACATTTGTTCTCACTTTCAGGTGACATTGTGAACAAGAATTGGGCAGCATTATCTCCTGAAAATGTAAACTAACTTGCCTGTCTGAGTGATTGACTGAACAAGAAATAGGACTGAGTGGACTTGTAGGCGCTAAAGCTTTACATTGTTTTATTTTTGAATTCAGTTATTTTTTGTACATAATTCTACATTTGTAAGTTCAACTTTCATAATAAAGAGACTGCACTACAGTACTTGTATTAGGTGCATTGAAACATGGTATTTTTTTGTTTTTATAGTGCAAATATTTTGTGAAATACACACCACGCTTATTTTTACTATATAATTATAAAATAAATCAGTTGGAATATATCTGATATCAACTCGATTGAGTGACAAGGGCTATCGAATGGAACTCCTTCCAGGGTTTCATGAAATACATGTAATGTATTGTATTCATTTCATAAAATGTAAACACTGAATCTAATACAAAGTATATAAAAAATGCAACCGTTTAAATTGGTTTGAATTGATTCCAAATTATGAGATTAAACTATTGAGTCTATTTGACTACATTTGTGATGAACTTAGTGCAATGTATCTTAGTTTCAAGCCTTTGCAGATTCAGTTATGAAATAATTTGAAAAATAAGGTTAGTAGAATACTTTCTGCACACATAAATTGCCTCACTTTATTATGGCAGACCGAATATCTTTAGTCCATTTTTTTTTTAAATGGGAAAATTCCCATTTAAAAAAATCATTTCATTTTGCTCTTTTATTGATAATGTAGTAGCTATCTTGAATGCAAATTAATATATGACAAAATAAATTTTAAAACTGAATATGGTATTTTGAAAAAAATGCTTTTTAATATGGTTTGTAATGTGTGTATATAATAAATGTGTAACATCTGACTAGTATCTGCCTTTATCATGCAAATGACTAAACAAGAAGTCCTCAAACTTACCTGTTTGACTTCTGTAATAACCAAAGCAACTCAGATGTTGACTGTTGTACCAAAGCTGCTCTAACAGGGAATGTTACAGGCTGAGTAAGTCCATCACATATCTGAGCCATCTCTTTCACCATTGCCCAACTGTATCCTATTGGAAAGATCATTTGATGCAGTATTAAGAAACTCTCCACATTCTATCAGAATATAAAGGTATCATGATTTATAAAATAGTTAGAAAAGATATACTGCTATTCCATACTGTCGACATGTGGATTTTGTGAAAATCTACTATTTCTAAAAATGAAATTGAACAAAAAAAAGACTATGAACAAAAATGAAACTGACTACTCATTTTCACTGTCCAAGTTCAGAAAAATGCCAGAAGTAAATATCAGCATAAATAGTGAAAAATAAATTATATTTGTAAATTCTGTGTTTCAGTTATTTAAATGTTATTTGTAATATTGTCAAATAAATATTAGTTGAGGAAATCCTGGCCCCACTGAAGTAACTGGGAATTCTGCCATTGACTTCAATGGAGACATGATTTTTAACATGACAGTGACCCTTTAAAATAAAAAAATCTTTGAAAGAATAAGAAAAAAAAGGTAATTCTAAAATTATTTCAGAAAGAATAAAAGAAAGAACCGACATCATTTTAAGTTATACAGAAATGAGGTGGCTAAAATATTTTAGTTAGGGCTTGGAGAAAATATGTTTAAAAGCAAGCAATTTAACACAGTTTAAAAATTGCTTGCTTTTAACATCTATTTTTGCAAGCTTCGAAGCTAGTAAAAAAATTTTATTTGTTCTTTAATTTAATGGAAAGTGTCAGGTAACCTTAACCACAGGCCTTGCTATCTGTGCCACCTATAACATCACAGTGATAAAAACCACTAGTGGCCAGCAGCATCTTGTCTACACCAGTGCTCCCATTGGTGAAGTTGCACCAGTGTTAGAGAAGTGCAAACTTTTGGGGAAAAGATTAAGGTAGGCCCAGTCTTTACGTAGAACTGTGATTTAATAAGCAGGTAATAACCACCCCAAATATCCAGTTACAATAAGTGCAGTTACACTGTGTCCATACAGTCACATTTTGCACAACAGTCAAGCATCAAATGTATTTGTACATTCACACCTATCACACAGTTTTCCTCTGTGTGTATGAAAGCACTCTGGGGGAAAAAAATCAGGCTGATATCACATAGTGCCCCAGCCAGGAATTAAATGCCCAGGCAACTTTATCCACAGAGTACCAACACCACCACTTGGGGCAATGCACTCTGGGATGTTGTATTGCACAGAGAGGTAGGAGAAAGAAGGACCAGACAGCCCTGTCACCGAAACATGATTAGCTGCTCCTGCCTAAAAACAACACAACAGTGTTACAACCTGATTACAGGAAGACAAAAACACACCTAGGCTGCCAGCAAGGGCAATACATAGTTAACTGTCACCTTATCTTACTCTAACATTCCTCTTACTTACATACTATGCCAGCCTCTTCTGAAAACAAAGTTACATGAAAAATCTCTTAAAAGCAGAAACAATTAGTTAGAATCTGTGTGTCCAGTACTAGTTATGTTGTACCAACCGCCTGTACCTGTGTGAAGTTTTAAACTAGCAAGTGTCAGAATGAGTGCCTTTGGCTGCTAAGTATTGTTTTTGCTGTTTTTTTTACAAGTGCACATATCATAAGCCTTCCATTTCCGATTCTCAGCTTTGATGTGAAAATGTAACTGTTGCAATCATAGAAGATCAGCTGCTTTTTTATATTATAAAGTGAGGTAAGAATGAAACAAAAGCTCCTGTCTGAGGGTATGTCTACACTACGAAATTAGGTCGAATTTATAGAAGCCGGTTTTATAGAAATCGGTTGTAAACAGCCGACTGTGTGTGTCCCCACATAAAATGCTCTAAGTGCTCTAGTCGGCGGACTGCGTCCACAGTACCAAGGCTAGCGTCGACTTCTGGAGCATTGCACTACGGGTAGCTATCCCACAGTTCCCGCAGTCTCCGCCGCCCAGTGGAATTCTGGGTTGAGATCCCAATGCCTGAATGATGCAAAACAGTGTCGCGGGGGGTTCTGGGTACATGTCGTCAGGCCCCTCCCCCTCCGTCAGAGCACCGGCAGACAATAGATTCGCGCCTTTTTACCTGTGCAGACAATATACCACGGCAAGCATGGAGCCCGCTCAGATCAGCTCACCGTCACCATATGTCATCTGGGTGCCAGCAGACGTGGTACTGCATTGCTACACAGCGGCAGCAGCTAACTGCCTTTTGGCGGTAGACGGTGCAACATGACTGACAGCCGTAGAGCTGCATTGCACCAGCCCCTTGCCTTTTGGTAGAAGATGATATATTAAGATTGGTATCCATCGTCATCGTACTGTAGTGGCTGTCAATCATGGGCACCTGGGCAGACATGCAACTGTCTCGATGATGATGGCTATCAGTCATAGTATGCTATTTCCTGCCAATCGCCCAGTATTTTCTGCTAAGCACCCAGAAGAGGCCGAGGGCGATCTGGATGCTGGCAGATGGGGGGCTGCATTGCTACACAGCAGTCATGCTGCACCGTCGGCTGCCAGCTTAAGATGTAAAAAATAGATTTGTTCTGTATTCATTTGCTTCCCCTCCCTCCGTGAAATCAACAGCCTGCTAAACCCAGGGTTTTGAGTTTAATCTTTGGGGGGGGGGCATTCTGTGTGACAGTTGTTTGTGTTTCTCCGTGATGCACAGCCACCTTTGTTGATTTTAATTCCCTGTACCTGTACGCCATGTCGTCACTCGTCCCTCCCTCCGTCAGATACTAGTTTCGCGCCTTTTATCAGACCAGGCGCCATAGCTAGCACTGGGATCATGGAGCACGCTCAGATCACCGCGGCAATTATGAGCACTATGAACACCACGCGCATTGTGCTGGAGTATATGCAGAGCCAGGACATGCCAAAGCGAAACCCGGACCAGGCGAGGAGGCGATTGCAGCGCGGCGATGAGAGTGATGAGGAAATTGACATGGACATAGACCTCTCACAAGGCACAGGCCCCAGCAATGTGGAAATCATGGTGTTACTGGGGCAGGTTCATGCCATGGAACGCCGATTCTGGGCCCGGGAAACAAGCACAGACTGGTGGGACCGCATCGTGCTGCAGGTGTGGGACGATTCCCAGTGGCTGCAAAACTTTCGCATGTGTAAGGGCACTTTCATTGACCTTTGTGACTTGCTCTGCACTGCCTTGAAGCGCCAGAATCCCAGGAAGAGAGCAGCCCTCACAGTTGAGAAGCGAGG